TACGTTTTATTTGCGTAGCAGCAGCAGTAGCTGGCTACATATGAACATATGCAAATATATAATGTTTAGATCTGTATAATGTGCAGATGATGACAACGCTTGCAGATCGAAAGGGTAAACAAGGAATAAGGGCAAGGGTGGCGGCTTTGATAGTGGTATCTCTGGTTATTTTACGGCCAATTGTCAGAATACCAGTTGTTTGGTGTTACTTTGGTTTTGGTTATCCAGATATTGGCTTACAAGCGGACTACTAATAGATACGATGGTGGGTGAGACAAAGTTTAAAATGCATTTTGAAAATACACCGCCATCGTCAGCACAATGTCCATACATTTAAGCTTTTGGTTAAGCGAACGAGTGCGAGCTATTTAAAAATGAAAAAAATACAAGAGAACATAAATACCAACAACATCTGCAGTTAACATTGGTTTTGTATAAATTTAATAATTTTCTGACCAAAATAGAAGAATTAAAAAGTAACGGGATAACCAAGTGAAACAATATATATATATATATATATATATATTATGTAATACACAAACATAAATTACATGCGCACACTAATTAGCAAAATAAACATGTGTTTCATAGCAATATAAAAATAATCAAAAAAAAACAGAAAACAAATAATTTATACCATTACTTGACCAAATTTGGAAATGTAACGGTTTTAGTTTAATTTTAAATCTTTTTTTTTTTTATCGCCCGCACTTTTCAAATGCTAAAATATTTGACCTGATGTGAGGAATTTTTATTTAATTTGTTTGTAAATTCGGTAAAATACGCCTACCTACCTATCTATCGAACACCTACCATGCCGAATGAATAATGGACGATTGTATGAAGGTATTCGATATACTCGATTATGTTAATTGTAAATTAAAAACTGTAAAATACCAATACTTTTCACACTTGGCCAACAATTCAATTAATGGCCATAAATTTTCGGCAATTAATGCCAACGATTTACAAAAAGTCTATATATACCAAAATATTTGTGTATCGTTTAAAAAATTTATTTTTTTTTTTTTTTTTTTTTTTGGTAAAATTGACTTACTTTAGTTTTGTTAACGACAATGTTTATAATCATTACAGAAAATCAATTCATAAAATTTACATGCAGTCAGTCGTTTAATAAACGGAATATCATTTCAAATTTTTCACACAACCGGGCCATTGTTTTATGATCAGCTTTATAAGGGATAGTGTCATATACTCCCTCTACAGCATCAATTTTTAGCTAAATAAAAGTCTATCAACGCCGCAATTGTCCAAACAATAGCATTTTCATAAAAGAGTGCCACAATCACATCGTCAGTCCGTACTATTCGCCGGATTGTTGCACTAATGCGCTTTTACTCTGGATAGAACACAAGCGACATTTTTGCAGGCCAAAAAAAAAAAAAAAAATTCACCCCATCACTTCAAATAATTTTTCTAAAAGTTTTTTTTAAGGAATTTTCGCTGCATCAATGCGTTGTGCGAGCGGATATCGTTGCGTATCTGAAAAAAGCCTCGTAATTTTCTGCTTATCAAAATGTAATCCCCATGACGCCGCGAAATTTTAAATGACCACTCTTGCTGGAGAACGCTTAATGAAAGTCATCATACAAGTTATCTGAGCGGTCGTAGTGCAGCAACAATTGCCGCTAACTTGACATAGGTATATAATGTTTTATTCAAATGTTCGCTTTCCCTTTCAATTAAATGTTTCTGTGATTTGTAAAAAAACGACTAAAAATTGTCTTTTTGTATATATGGAAAATATATTTTAAATATATCCGAACCTTAATAGTCAGTTAGTGAACAGATTAAATATCTTATGGCAAACTATGTTATGTAAATGTGTTGTCCCTCATAAACCAATTTACGAGACAGAAACGCAGCTAAAAGTTTCCTTCTTGGACGTATATCTCTGTACTAAGAAGCAATATGATAACGATTATATATTTATATTTAGCTTTAGAGCTTTTACAATTCGAAAGCTTAAGGGCTTTAGCTTTTTTGCTTATAATTGTCTTGTACCCAAGACAATCGTCATGACACGTTTATCGTGCTGAAAAGCTAAGATAATAAAAGAGAAAGTAGTTAAGAGCTCTTTTCTTTTACGGATTGACGGATATAGTGCATTAAAAAAATTAATTGCGTAATTTGGCGAAAATGAAATGGAAAAGTTCCCATCCAGACAATAAGCAATTACCAAAAATAAATAAATAAATGATCTGAAATGCACATACATGCTTGCGTATATATTTATAAACAAATGTAATAATAAATGAACAGATAAACAACAAACAAATAAGCAAATATACGTACAAACATCCATACGTACATACATATCCACATATGCATGCGTACATCATGCGAACACGTATTTACCTACATTAACAAATAAGTTTGTTTGTTTATTGATATGTTTTTGCATATGTTTATATATGTATTCCAGTGTATGCGTGCTTGTGTGCATGCATTTCAAAGTAAACATAATGCAGAAGAGCTGAAAAATGTTACTTTCGATTTAATTGAGCGATAAAGACAATAATTACAATTGTGGTAATAACTTGTTTCTAGTCCAACTTGTCAGCTGTAGCAACCGATACAAATGTATCTTGAAGAAGTGTAGCCTGGTGTTGGCCAGCCGGGATTGTACGGTTGATGCAATAGGAAGCGTGACTATGTCGCGTAAAATAAAGCCAAAGGCTTTATTGGCTGAATTTAAGCTCCAGAGGGATCAGGAGCCTACTTAGATTGGTGCTTGCCAGGATCCTTCGGGTGTAAGCTTGCACATACAAGTTTAGAAACTATATTAATTCCATAGAAAAGTTTTTGCGAGATACCACAAATACGAGAAATCAAAGAATTTGATGCTTTTGCTTGAGAAATATATTGAAAAAATGTCTAGTGTATCTTAGTTAGTTAGTCCAGTACATCTTAGCAAGCAAAAATGTTCAGTATATCTTAGTTAAAGTAAAAAAAATGTTAATTTATCTCTTAATTATAAAACCTAACGAATCTCTCTCTCTCTCTATTAGGCACACAATGTTGTTACTTTTGCTACTGGATATGGCCATAATCAACGACTTCATCTTTTTCATTCCATAGGACGGCATAACAGCATTAGCTAGTGTTAATGTTTTCATAATGAATTTCTACTTCCAAGTTTTCTCTTTTCACGAAACGATTGAGTCGTCGCATACAACTCATATATATCTCGTACTTTACTTCTTTTTTTTTATACGATTACTCCAATTATTACTTTCTACGAAACTCAACTTTTCTTACTACTAAGCAACTTTTCTCAAATTGTCTGCTAAGGCCCCAACAGTGTTTTTTTGAGTAAAGTTTAATGATAATGATAAGGAAAAAAAGAATTTGCAAAACTTTAGCTCTCTTTATAATCCTTTGGATTCCATTAAAAGTAATTTCACATTTATTATGCGGTAAAATGACAGTAAGCAGAAAATCTATTATTGTAGTTGGTTTGCTTATGAAAGGAAGTTTCTTAGTAGCGGAAATTTTCAAATTTAGGCTCCTTCACAGCTTTTCTAAACTTTTTCGCACCTTTCCTTTCACTCTTTTGTATGTTTTTTAATATATATATATATATATATAAAGAGACGTGTCTTTTCTTTGCAGAGTACTGATGCCAAGTGTCTTAGAAGCAATATAGTCATCATAAAGGCGAAACGAATTAGTTGTGATTGCCACCTTTACGTCGAACCAATGAAATTCTTCAAGTCAGATCACATAAGATGGTGAGTTAAAATTTAAAACAAATAATCTTTAGTGGATAATAGCCTTTCCTGAACCGCATCTGGCAGGGCAATGCAAAATTAAAGTGCAAAGGCAAAATGTGATTAATACCCGCAAGTGTAAACATATGCTCCCTAGAAATATATAACTTTTGACAACAGGTAGAAGGAAAAGCTTATTCCAGTTTTTTAGATATCCCCAAGGACCTGCACGAATAATTTCGGAATGATTGTCTTTTTTTGATTAACAAAGTAACCTTTTCATTGAAGTACTCCCACCCGATCACAAATACATTAATATTTTTCCATTCCCTGGTATTACCTTAAATATAGATAAGCAATTTAAGCTTAGATTCCCTGAAGTTCATCTTTTCTAATACTTTTCCTTACTATTATTACTTTTTTTTCTTATATACTTGAAAATGCTATATGCCTAATAACTTGCAAGAACATTACTATTATTATTCTGTTATCTTTCTTTCCATTCAAAAAATGTAGTCATAAACACTTTTTTTACAATAGTCTTCCTCCGTAAATTATTGGGTGAGCCTTTCATTATAGTAAAAGTGAATTCAATAAATTTGCCCAAAATTTGCTTAATATCAGCCAACTGTTCCCACTTCTATTCATATACAAACACATTTAGTAATAATTAACGCTGATATTGTTCCCGCTTACTAGTAATGCAAAAATATGTATATAATAATGAAAATAACCTGAAAAGTTTTATGCAGTGAAGAGAAAAATGGCTAAGCAAAATTCCAAAATTTGTTACAAAAATCAAATAATTGATAAATTGATGATATTTCGCTTGAAAATTACCAAGTATCGATGACTTTGGAAATTTCCCAAAATATTGCAAATTAAAAGAAATATTCAGTGTAAAACCTTAAATCAAAGCCCAATGCAGCTGTCGATTGACGAAAAGATTAGCAAAATTCACGGAAAATCCAACAGGTATGACACTTAAGAATTAAATGTGGTATGCATGGCTTCTTGCAAAACGTTTATAAGCAAAGAATTTGACCAAATGATGTTAGTTGAACCATAGTAATTGAACGCAGGAGTTGAGAAAAAGAAGTGACGCGTCGCTTAACATCAGATCTTCCAAAAAAAAAAAAAAAAGGGGAAATTTAACTTAATTGTAATAAAAAAAACTATTTAAAGTCGCCCGCAAGAGCTTTTTTAAAGTCTAAAGAACTCTCAAAGAGAATACAAAGAGAATTAATAACTAATCAGTAGTAAAAAATGCCTAGCATTCAATTGGAGTCGTCCGACCACGAAACTTTCGATGTTGATGTACAACTTGCAACACGTTTTGGTATTATTAAAACCTTGCTGGAAGTCTATAGAATGGAAGACTGTGATAATATTATTGTGCCTTTGCCATATGTTGATGCGGTCACGTTACGAAAAGTATTGGAATGGGTCTGTTATCACAAGGAGGATAAGTCTACCGGTGGTCATGATGATGACGAACAGAAGCCAACTGATATTTTAGCATGGGAGGCTGACTTTCTTAACATATGCCAAGTCGATCTATTCAAATTGATGTTAGGTGCAATGTATCTGTGTGTGAAGGATTTGATTGTTGCTATTTGCAGATCAATAATTCGAATCAATGGTAATCTCCAACCTATAAACTGAATGGAAATGATTGTCAATTTGCAAGCGCCGGCTGTTAATTCAAAATAATTAATTAGCGAAGATTTATTTTTGTTCACCTGTAATATTATACCACTGATATGAAAGAATTTTTTTTTTTTTATACTGGAACCGATTGAAAATCACTTGTATTTAATTTTTAAACTAGCGATTAATGAAAGTGATGAGAAGTAGGGATAGAAACTAATTTCGTGAACATCTGAATAGTAAGCAAATAAAAATCGTTTAGTAATTTTTATAATTAATGATTTATCAATAGTTTGACTAAGAATGCAATCATAACATGCTTTGCTAAATATTTTTATCACTTTTTGCATCATTAGCACTCGATTTCGATTTAGTTGGTTTAGTTTATTTTTAATTTTAGAAATCGTGTCCAACATTATGCGTAATATTCAGAAGTAAAGGGTCTCCTTTACACTTGAACCAATGTTGTGTCTAAATTAGGAGTGAGAATGTACTAAAAAAAAATTTGTGTGTAAAAACGAGTAAGAACATTATAATCGGCCTTCAAACATCCTACACCACATTGCCTTATTTTCGTATTATGGGTCAATTTTCATCACCACATATTGAAACTTCGTTTCTTCTGTTCTACATAGGAGATATGTTTCTAAAAATCCTTATAATCCAAAAATAGGCCCAGATGTTGCAAATTTGTTGCAGGTAATTTTTTTGTATTAAATCAGTATTATGATATAATTTTCATCATGAAGCACTGAATTTTTTTTCGTATTGATATTAGTTTTCGTCACAAGACAAGGGGGGTTCAATAATTTCCCCAGCCGGTTCATACAAATTTAGAATGCCGGAATACTACTACTTGGCCACTTTCGCCCAGAAATTTTGACAATTTTTTTCCATATAATGACTTTTCAGAATATGGCGTGATATGGGGAAAGATCAAAAAAGTAGGTCGATCCGATTTGAGTCAAAACACGCCACTGTACCAGATTTCATCAAAATATCTAAAAAATTGCGACCTGTGGTTGGAACATAAATGAACGTGGACGGACACTCAGGCGGATAGTCGGACAGATAGGCCTAGATCAATTCATATTAGGATGTAGAATACTGACTACTGATTTGGAGTCATCATAAAGGCAAACGGATTAGTTGTGATTGCCACCTTTACGTCGAACCAATGAAATCTTTCAAGTCAGATCACATAAGATGGTGAGTTAAAATTTAAAACAAATAATCTTTAGGGAATCATAGCCTTTCCTGAACCATACCTGTCAGGGCAAAGAAAAATTAAGCTGCAAACGCAAAATGTGGCGAGTCTAAATTTTACTAATAGCCACAAGTGTAAACATAGGCTCCCTAGAAATACATATATATATAACTTCTGACAAGAGATAGAAGGAAAAGCTCATTCCAGTTTTTTAGATATACCCAAGGACATGCACATATAATTTCGGAATGATTGCCGTTTTTGAATTAACAAAGTAATCTTTTCATTGAAGTACTCCCACCCGATCACAAATACATTAATATTTTTCCAGTCTCTCGTGTTACATTAAATATAGATTCCTTGAAGCTCATTTTTTTTTAATACTTGTCCGTTTTATTGCTTTTTGCACGATGATATGCCCAATGATTTGCACGAATATTATTATTATTATTCTATTATCTTTTTTTCCGTCCGAAAAATATATGGTCACAAACACTTTTTAGCCCATTACAGTAGTTTTCCTCCGTAAGTTATTAGGTAAGTTTTTAGTAAGTTATAGTAAAAATGCATTCAATAAATTTGCCCAAAATTTGCTTAATATCAGCCAACTGTTCCCACTTCTATTCATATACCAACACATTTGGTAATAATTAACGCTGATATTGTTCCCGCTTACTAGTAATGCGAAAAAATCTATATAATAATGCAAAAAGAGAAAGGACAACACGAGTGTATACCTGTAAATGCAGTGAAGAGAAAAATGGCTAAGCAAAATTCCAAAATTTATTACAAAGGTCAAATAACTAATAAAATTAGTTCGCCTAAAAACTACCAAGTATTGATGAGATGGAAATTTCCCAAAATATTGAGAATTAATAAAAACAAAATTAAGAGAAATATTCAATGCATTACCTGGAGGTCCTAAAATCAAAGCCCAATGCACCTGTCGATTGAGGAAGATATTAACAAAACTTCACGGAAAATCCAACAGGTAGGACAATTTAAAATTAAATGTGGTATGCATGGCTTCTTGCAAAATGCTTATAAGCAAAGAATTTAAACAAATGGTGTTAGTTGAACCATAATAGTTGAACGTAGAAGTTGAGAGAAAGAAGTGACACTTCGCTTAACATCAGATCATCCAAAAAAAAAAAGGAAATTTATTTTAACAGCAGTAAATAAAACTATTTAAAGTCGCATGCAAGAGTTTTTTAAAGTCTAAAGGACTTTCAAAAGGAACATAAATTAATAACTAATCAGCAGCGAAAAATGCCTAACATTCATTTGGAGTCGTCCGATAACGAAATTTTCATTGTTGATAAACAAGTTGCAAAACATTTGGGTATTGTCAACACCATGCTCGGAATCTGCGGAATGGAAGACCGTGATAATATTGTTGTGCCTTTGCCAAATGTAAATTCGGCCATATTACGAAAAATATTGGAATGGGCCTGTTATCACAAGGATGATGTGTCTACTGACGAAAAGAAGCGAACTGATATTTTGGCATGGGAGGCTGACTTTCTTAACATATGCCAAGTCGATCTATTCGAACTGATTTTAGGTGCAAACTATCTGCATGTGAACGATTTGTTAGATGCTGCTTGCGAAGCAGTGGCCAAAATGTTAAGAGACAAGACACCAGAAGAAATGCGTGAAATGTTAAAAATTAAAAACGATTTTACAGCTGCCGAAGAAGAGGATTTACGACAATTAAACGAATGTTTGGAAGCGATCTGAACTTTATTTCCGTACAAATGAAGCATTTTTCGAACTTTGATTTTGTTAATCATGGAAAAGTAAGGAATCATCGGGCGACCATATTTTTTCAACCTTACTACTTACTGCTCTTTAGTGGTCTCTCTCTCTCTTTCTATGTCTCTTAGTTTTTCAAATAAATTAAAAGTAAATATAAAATGCAAAAAAATGTTTATTTGTTCACTAGTCAGTTAAATATATCAGTTAAATGGATTGATTGCTGAAGTAATTGTCAGTTTGCAAGAACTGGCTGTCAGTCCAAGATATTTAGAGAAGGTTGCCCTAGTCGGTTCATACAAACTAAGAATGCCGGATTATCCATTGTCGCCAGGTAATTTGGAAAATTTGACAATATTTTTCTATATAATGACTTTTCAGAATACGGCGCTCTATGGGGAGAGATCAATAACGTGGACCGATCCGATTTAGATCAGAGCACGTCACTGTGAATTTCCATTTTTAACTTATGATTAAGCGGAGAAACTATTGCATATGTTTTCTAAAAAATCCAATCATATGATTAAGTTTTCGAAAATAATTGTACGGCAGTACAAGACGTGAACTTCCAATTTACAAGGGTTTCCTTTCTTTGTCATTCTACTGAATTTAAGTTGTTGTGTTGATATGGAGTCAAGTGTTTTACTATAATTTTTTTATTATAGTGTATGAACAGTTAGCTGTTAATATGTGTGTATTTATTCAGAAACATTTTTTGAAAAAATACTTTTATACATACATAGTAGAGTAGTAGTTGAAATATGTGGGGGAATAAAAACAAGCTTATGTATAAGCTTAGAATGCATTTGTATTTGTATTTGTTCGTATGAGAAATGGCGTCTGCATGCAAAGCTAACAACTAAAGTATGTAAAATACAAATGCTTGTCAGAAATGTTGTGACACATGTAGATAGACAGATAGTACTTTGTTGATGGCTTTTGATGCACCGAAGTAATTCACATCTACATTATTATAAAGTACAAAAAACAAACACATTCGCCATGTGACGTGAAACGAAGATCTTTGAAAAGGAGAGGATTTGTAAAATCGTACTTAGTCGCCTCGAGAAAAAGCGAAAAACTCAAGCTTCTTCGTTTTCCTAATCCTTAGAAAACAGAGATACATGCTTCATAATTTTTCCAAGGACAATATAGGTAAGATACCTCAAGTTGAATATCATATTAAAACTGCCCTACGCCAACCCAGGTTAGAAAAACATTCTAAATTGAATTCCTCTTCTTAGTTACAATCCACGGCCGCAGCCTCCGTCATACGTACATTCCTCAGGTTTCCGTCAGGAACGATCTTTACGGCTGGCAAACTTGAGTTACACAGAAACTTGTTTACAATTGTTCTTAGGTAAGGGACAATTTCATGGCCTTCTTGTACCAAAATTCAAAACAAATTTTTCTTATGGTTATTCTCTTGATAAAAGCATTATCCCATCAACATGCATTCTGATATTGTTTGGGCGAAAAGCCCAAAGCTTTTGAAAACTTTATTTTGAACTCATGCTTGCACCGTTGAGCTCTCCAGACAGCCAATCTTGTCTTATACTGCGAGCGTATCAATACTTCTCCCTCAATCCTTGTAGAGTTTCTGTTGCTTTTGCGAATTTTTTTTTATACTTATTCAGCATAATTTTCATACTTTTTACTAAACACTGTTAAGCAGCTTAACCTGCTAAGAAAATATCTTGCAAATAGCCCTCGGCAATTTTGGGCAATTCTTCGACAGATAATTTTCAAGTTTTTGGGCAACTTGAAAATTTCTTTAAAGGTCACGGACGGTCTTCTGTCTTCTACTTTAGCGATAGGTAATATTTTGTTTAATTTTCAACTTTCTCTTTCTATAAGAACTTACTTAGCTTCGTGAAATCGATTTTCGTTTTGCATTCAATTTGCAAAAAAAAAGCGACATAGTTAACATAGTTACATGACATGACTTGTCCTTTGTATCCTTTCATCTGGTTTTAATAGTGAATTTATAATTTTTTTTACGGATAAACCATAGTTGCTGCGGAATTGTAATAACTTGGCCGTAAACGCAACTATCTCTATGTGGCATTTATTATTCATGTGCAGAGTTGGTCATGTTACGTCGATGAGTTGTGTTAGGTTAATTAATGATTCATTCAAATTCCGCCATGTTTCTACCTATGTAGTAATTTTTAATAATGATAGATAAAATGTTATATTATTTCCTTCCTATCACCTTTCAAACGAGCCAAAATATGGCTTGATGTGATTTGTGTTACGAAAGTTACGCATCTCTAAAGGCATCTGCTAAGAAAATATATTGCGAAATTTCGCCATTACTTGTTACGTAAATTTTACGGTGAATATATATTAGCAAAGATTCGCGAAAGTAAAAGCATAAAGGGATCAATATGCTTATTATCAATAAATTTGTGAATTATTTACGTATAGCGATTTATTTTCATTTGCTTCCTTTGATGCTTCCAAAAGCAGCTATGGCTAAGATGCGGGATTTGTAAGTCGCTGGACCGCGTTGTCAAAATCGCAACAAACGAAATAGGAAGCTGATTTTTCGTGGACCGAAATCTTCAAATCGATAGCATTTGCTTATGCTAGTGAAAGAGCTGAAGGGCCAAAAGTCATTTCAAGTCAAGCATAAGTCTTTAACTTGGCCGTATTTCAAACTGTTACTCTATGTTCAAATTCAACACACTTGTAAGCATACCGGCAGCTATGTATATATCACTTAGCATATTAATGACGTGAATATATTCAAAATGTTTTTTAACAAACTTAATATCGCACGCATATGTGAAAAAGTAAATTTAGTAAATTTATGTTTTTCACTGACTATATTTGATGGCCATACGAACGATTGCGTCATGACAATAAATTTAAGAAAGCTTAGGTGAGTACCTGATAACGAACTTTCAATATATAGACGATGAACATTTTTAAGAAAAACGATTTCTCGTAAAAGTAGGCTTCTCCTAACGTCACTCTATCGTCGGGCTTTGTGGTTCCCAGCAAATAATCATTTCATTTTCCGACCTTAAAACATATTCATTTGCTCAGAATTTTGATGTCGTACAAACCATCCAATTATTCCCTGATTTGATTACGTAAAAAATGTTGGCAGACCAAGTGCGTATTTAAATAAAAAACTTAAACAATTGCCAAATATTATGTAACGAACATGAGGAGGCCAGCTTCATATCTAAATAGGGAATTCGAGGAGAGATGACATCAAGTCTTCGAAACTTAGTGAACGCACGCACTCACTTTCCAAAAACAGTGAGTGGTAGTTTGTAAACCGCGCTCAAAAACCAGCAGTATGGACTCAGTAGGGACTTGAATAGTGTGCTTTCCCCTACAAGTAACTTATGCAATGAAATTTGATTATAATAATTGCCGGACTCATCTTCAAAAAGCAAGGTGTCAAACAACATGGGCTTTTTAAGACTTCCGTCTTTCCCTATAAAGCACAATGATAGTACCATAGGACGCAGATGGGTCGGTGCATAGATATTTTTATATCGAGTAAACTCGTGAGTCGCTTGATCGACTCGCTTCAACAAGTAATGCATGCATAGCTATCGATGAAGTTTGTATTTGCTTATCCATGGTGTTTACTCGATAATAACAGTTATAAGCCTATCCCACATTTACACATGTATTATGGGAGTATTGCATATGGAATGATAAAACAAATGCATTTTGTTTGTTGTAGAGGTGTTACACTTGCGAAAATAAATAAATTCAAAAAATATATAACAAACCACCTTAAGTGCATAAATAATGCAAACTAACCGAAAAATATTGAAAACAAAAAATTTTTTGTTTCTTTCTAACAAACGCATACGCAATACGTTGATATATTGCTTTTTATTGTTGCTTTTCTTTAATATACTTGTATTAGCGTATCATAAATAATTTATGTGCTGAGTTGAATGCATATTGTTTGTGTGCAAATGTGTTAAATCCGCATTAAATGCATACAGTTTCTATTATTTATCATATTGTTGCAGTAGTAGTAGTAGTAGTTAAATTAAAATTTTGCGTACAACTTATTTGTTTTGCATGTGTCTTCACTTTATATTTCATTTCATTTATTCATTTATTAAATAACTATAGAGTCATATGCCTATTGCTTAGAGAAAAACATTTTTTTATTCCTTTTGAAGAAGGAACTGTTCTCAGTTTACGCAGTACTGTAGGCGTGTGATTTGACCAATTTGCTTCATTCTCAATACCAATATGTCTGCATAAACTTCTGCAATTCTTCCAACTTTGAAGTCGACATCTTCTTTTCGCGGCCAGGAGAATGTTTACAATAGACGTGGGACAAACGGGCAGACACAGACACAGATGGACAGACAAATATGCTTAAATCGATTTCGAATTTGATACCAATCACGGATATGTATACTTTGTGGGATCTCTGATGCTTCCTCCTGCGCGTTGCAAACGTTTTGACCAAATGAATGTACCACTCCTCCTTCGGTAATGGGTATAAGAAAAAACAACTGGCCTAACAATATTTTGCGTCTTGAAAGCATCGAACTTTCCCTATGATTGTGGCGTACCTAACCCTAATGGGCCGGGACCATTGAGACTTTTTTGAATTCTAAACACAACAATTTTCATTATTTTATCATGGATTTTCAAAATATTTCTAATTTTTTACTTAAAAAAAATATTATTATTAAAAAATATATTTATAAATTTGTAGTCATAATCTCAATATTAATCATTTAAGTTTTCCCAATAAATCGTATCGGGATGAGCCTGTCAATCTCACAATCAAAAAAGAATCCTGCATCTAGGACAAGAAAGACCCAATTGAAAAACTTCTTGATAAGCCATGAACTGAACAAAATTTTGCACAGAATTGTCCACAAAGAAATAATGATCGCTTTCAAAATCATCAAAAATATTGAAAATTCTTACAAGCAGGATGCTGCTAGAAACGATCTAAATCGGTCAAAGGATACGCCTATAGTGCAACATAAAGTGAAAACCCTTTGTTTTTTGCTCTTTGGATTTTTTTGGTCGTTAACATACAAACAACAATGGAAACATGATAAAAATATTCACATATATTCTAGGAAAGTGGAACTAAACGGTACAGAGTTTGAATATTTAATTTTTTCATTGGTTTGTTAGGCTCGTCACAGCCGCACATAATTTGTTTACCTCTTTCTCTTCTGAATTCGAAATCGAAACATATGTGACGGGTAATACCAGTGACATAAGCATCGAAATCTTTACAAAAGTTTGTCATATCGATAACTTGCTTGTTGTATTTAGTTTTCAATGTATTTTCCTTTCTATCCATTATTATTATTTTTATAAACATAGCCAGAGATTAAATTCAAAGACTAAAGTCTTAAAGCACTAACATCTTTCGGTTTTATTTGAACCCACGACCATTGAGTTGCTAGTTAAGACTCTTGCCTACTCGGCCACTCAGGCGGATCTTTGGATAAATAGATGTTATTAAACTCTAAACTAAGGACGGCAACATTTAATTATGCCCATAGTTCTCAAAAACTCTGTGAGGTTCATAGCGATGTTGTTTGCTATAAAAAAAAAACACATGGCACGATCAAGGCTATATGTAAAGATTAGGCAATGAGTCTCATGCCAGTACAGAAGTTAAAAAGACGTTTTTCATCTATCACACCAGTATGCCAATAAATGTTTGTTTTTGTAAATAATTGTTGCAGTTCACTGGACCTTAAAAAAGATTCAAGTCTCTACAACTATCAAGTGAAAGTATGTTTTCATTTAAAAATACAATGAAAATCTCTTTCGGCAATAATTCTAAATGCAAATCTATGATTGAGTAACAATTGCAACGGTTACAATTAACGTTGCACAAAGTTTAGCTAACAAATTTAATAAATTGGACGAATGTTTTTTAAAACACTTGAGGGATCAAATACATTTTTCCAGTGGTCATTAATTATTGTAACGACTCATTAATCTTAGCAACTATTCGAGCTACTGTCAAAACGACATAATCACGTATATAAAAACTTGTTACATTATCCTGTCATAATATCCTTGCTATTACCAAGTTTTAATAAAGTGATCTCCTTTTCAAAAAAATTTAAAATTTTTGTTCAAATCGTTTTAGGGGGAAAACGAAACGATTACCATTTACTACTTACTACAACAATGACATGAAAAATTTTGTTATCACCATTGTTGCAAAGGTATTTTCGCTCATACTTACTTCCATTGAACTACCATTTACTTGAGTTGTTTTTTTTTTAGTGAAATTTTTCCAAAAATTTCCAAATTTAATTCAACAATTTCGAACTTGATGCTCATCTCTTGCAATTTATTGCATCTGCTTAGAGTTGTATATTCTTAAGTGTCAGCATATAATCCTGAGCTTACATTTTATTACTGCAATTTAGTGAATTAATTGGCATTTATTTTCCTTATTTATATTTCGTCTCTCCTAAAATAGTCTCCTGTAGAGTTTATTTCAAACTTGGACAGGCGCTAGGGTGATAAGGATACTCAACAGGTAAAGACATTATATACGGGCGTGGTCAAACATTTTATATTCATCAACTTTTTCCTAAAAAAAAAAAAAAAAAAAAAAAAACACACACACACACGCAAACACACGATTTGGATAAAATTTCAATACTCTGTACTGTCGGGGGGATCCGCCCATTTTTAGTACGGGCACATGAACTGCACGCTGCTGCTATTTATGAGTAATGAGCAAGAAATCAATCTTTTTTTTGTTTGCTTCTAAAAAAGGGGTGGGTATCCTTCAACCGACTTGTCCAACTTTCAATATCAAGCTGCGTGTATGAACTTGCAATTTTAACACAATAGCTTTCTTTTTGTAGCTTGGAAAATGTTCACCCAGACGGACAGACTAAGAATATAAATACGTTATAGGTTATAAGCAACTTTGATCTAATTGTTTGACAAACTGAACATACATTCATATATTAAAAGTATGGATTCCCTTCCTACAATGCCATCTCGATGCGACTCTGTTGACTGTTTTGTATTCTCTAAACAAACCGATATTTTTTGACAGGTAGATTAGTGTAGATCAAAATTAAATTCGACAGATGTGTTTTTGCGCAAATTTCAATTTGCTTGCAACTTTTATTTTAAAATTTTTAAAAAAAAAACTTTTAAACCCAACAAAATTATATTTGTTTTTCTTATTTTTTTTTTTTTTTTTTTTTGTTTATTTGTTTTATTACAATTCACTGTTTACTGAAGAATTACACACATTGTACTTATTTATTTTAACATTTTAAATTTTAATTCTATAACAAAACATTGCAAAATTTTTGTGTTTATTTTAGTAATTATCATAGTTAGAGGTGAGTCGATAAAACCCACAATTACACAATTTTCTTGTGTATACATATATATATATATAAAAGCGAAAAAAAATAAAAAAAAAAAACAAAAAACAACACATTATTGCTTAACCATATTATCCTCTAAAACCAACACCAAAGCCACCGTAATACGGATGACCGTAGAATCCATAAGAAGGACGGCCGTAAAAACCCCACGGTCTACCATAATAACCACCGTATGGTCGGCCGTAATAACCACCGTAATAATAGGGGCGCCCGTAAAATCCCAATCCAAAAATTTGTCGAGTATTACGTATAGCGGCTGGACCCTCGTCAATCTTAGCTATTTCATCATTTTGTGAAATAGATGCAGTCAAAGTCAAGATCGCAGGAAGAATTAATAAGCACAAAAGCCATGCACTAAACTCCATTTTTGATTAATTAATTTTATTTTATTCAAAATTCATTAACACCTTTGATAAGAATTAAAAAAGTTCGCAAGAAATCACGGTAAACTGCTATTGTGTATGTGTACGCTTTTAAAATCTGAGATGCGTTTTAAGCTACATCGTTTTATATACTGAAAGCGAAATATTCTTACCAGCTGGCACAGACAAGATTATACGAGCTTCTCGTTAATTTTTATCAGCATTCAGTATTAGTCATTATTTAAATAAACGATTAAATAAATAGTACAATAATATGAGGTGATAGGTAAAGAGTACTGAATAGATAGCAAATTATTTTAGCTAAAAAGGTTACGCTCAGAAAAATATATAATCGTTTCTTGTCCTACAAGCGAATTATTAAAAAGGACCGACAGTAATTTTCATGCCACCAGTTCTAGGCTTAGTTGGTTCTATTTGTCGGGGTGTTCCGTAAATATAGCATCAAAAAGCTCAAAGTTGGTATATCATGGAACAGAGAGAGAAGACAGAGGTGTACTCCATCCACAATACCTAAAAAGTTGTAATCCCATATAAAAACTCTGCAAATATATATGAAACATATTCATCTACGGTGCTGCAGAGTATCTGTCTGAACCGTTTAAAAGTTTTAAGCAAGAACGAGCTGCATCAAAACCACCAAACAAATAATTCAGTATATTCGAAATAGTAAGACCAGTTTTCATGACCTTAGTATCAAGCTTTCTGTCCTCAACGATCGGGCCAAAGCCTTTTCTACCGAAAAATTGTACAAAAACAAAAAGAGGAAAATTATATTCAAGTTAAGCCAATGCTTCGATACCCATCGCTTAAGACCAAAGCGAAAAACAGCGACCTTGCTAGTTAGGAGCAGGCATGCGATAACTACTTTTATACTCTACTCTTTTATGCCCATGACTGGTGAAATTTTATTCACTTCTTTAAAAACGTTTGTAAAACGGAGAAGGAATTTTCACAGGTTCAATAAAGTATACATATCCCTTAATCTATTTAAACATGTCTGTCCATCTGTCTGCATGTATAATGTACATTCTCCTGGTCTTAAAAATGAATATATCAGCTTCATATTTTGCAAAAACCTTGCCAGTTCTTACAGGCAGGCGAGCATTGACAATGGGCCCAATCGATCAAGGGAAATGCCTACGACCGAACGTACAGGATGAAAAACCAATTTTCTTACCTCTTTTGGTATGTGTCAACAAACGTGCCTCTGTAGCCATCCCTGAAGTTTTACCAATCCATTTTTATTTTTTCTTAACTGTAATGAAAAACCAACCAAAGACTACGGACATGCAAACCAATAGGCGGACATGACTAAATCTACTCTGAATGAGACACATTTGTAAATGTTATAAACTGGAAGACATTTTCAGTAAATTTCTATAATTCGGCAAAGGATATAAGAGGGAAAATGGGTTATACGCTAAGAGTAAATCCGAAAGGATTACTGTTCCGTTGTTCTCCAAAGGCTGAAGAAACCAAATACTGCCTCTCTTAATTAAAGTACCAGAAGACAGCCTGTATCACAAATTAAGACACTAAGCCGATGAGATCATGTTGACTTGCGTGGTTTTAAAATTTGAAAGACATATGATAAGATATTCTAGAAAAAATGTTGAAACCACAATTTTGGCTTCGTCAGGTAGATATATATATATATATATATATATATGCAGGGTGACTGTTAATCGTATTTAAAATAAGCGAAATTCTCTTCTAATCACGAAAGGTGACAAAGAAAGTAATCTGTTTCCGAAGGCCTTTAAGTTGATTCTTGACAACATCTTTAAGCGAGTAAATGTAACAATGAACAAATATAGATATATATGTGTAATGTGTAAATTTGCGGAAAATAACTATAGCTTCAATTAAACTCTTTGTGAAGCCTACAATATTTTTGCATTAGAAAAAATGTAGAGGCGTGCTTAGACTCCTATAAATTTTGACTACTTCTTGTTTTTTTTTTTCGAGATCAACCTGCTTATGTTCGCGTTTCACAAATATCTTAAATTTTTTGCTAATTAAACACAATTAGCTGCAATAAACAAGGAAAATATAATACGAGGCGCGTTAGCAAAAACGCAAGTCAATCACCACTAAAAAGATAAAGGACAGACATTTCTGTGTATATAAAAAGATAAATTCTTGGTCTCACACTTTAATTAGAGCGCTCTCTTCCTTATCGACTTAGTGTGTCTTGGATGATTTATTGAAAAAAACGTCCTTTCCACATCGTTTTAACAGCGTTTGCCTCTTAATTACGGTTTGGCTGATTCTAAAATTTACAACAGTGGAAAGACAATTTTGAATTAAACATAATTTTCTTGGCAAAATTTTGAGATTGTAATTGTGAGTTCAGCGGGAAGCGCGGACATATGGATAAAGCCACGTTAAACCCATGTACTTATCTAATTTATCGATCATCTTCATTCATAGAAACTTAGATTGTGATAAATTATCTAAATATATATTTTGCAAATATTCGTTTCAAACACTTTTTAACACATAGTTTAACACAAACAGTAATTATTGCACTTTAAGATCAATAGGCTAATTAGATGAATCAGTTACTACAAAATAATTTAATAAGAAAATGATCATAAAAGTTTTTTATCTACGGTGTATTGCGGTGATTCATATCATGCATCATGCAAGAAAAAGTGCATTTCTAAGAAATGGCCTTAAAAGAAAATTAAATAAAATGAAGCTATTTACGTCGAGTAGAAAAATCGTGACAGAGATGCACATCGACGTTATTGAAAAAAGCTAACGTAATATTTCGCAAAATTAATAATGAAGGCCAGCACTGCAAGCAAGATAGATAAGAAAGGAATCCATTTCTCGAATTTAATGTTATTCAGAAAATGTAAAATTACTTTTTATTTAGGACATTTTATGTATGTGTGTTTAGATGTTTTATTTATTGCCCAAGACAAGATTAAATCAGTAAATCAGAAGATAACAAAACTTCTTTAAGGTTTTTTCGTTGGAGTTTTATACGTACACACACATGTCTCATGAAAGCTTCTGGTCTCTGAAATTCGGTATTAATCACTGTTAGATTGAATATATTTTTGGACACTTAATAAAACAATTTATCATCTATGTCGCCTTGTCGATCGAAGGGCGAAACTCTAACTTATCGTTTTTGATAAAACAAATTTAAAATAAACTCTACTAAGCTCAAGCTAATCGCGTACTCGCTACATGCTCAGGTGGCCTTAAAAATAAATGCATTTTAGATGCGATGAAAATATGGTGAGATTAACTTTTCTTTAAAAATTGTGTTGTGATGCATTACGATCTTCATTTATTTTGGAGCAAACTTTCAACAAAGAAGAGTCAAGCAACTCCTCGCAAGAAGATTTGCAGATGCATTTTAATGTTTCAATCATGGTGATTCCCTTTCACTAAGATTACTTTACCGGAAATTCAACTAATACAGCGAAAGCAACAAAATCTGCCAGCTTGCACTCTTCGGCAACCCCAAAGTTCTTCCCAAGACCCTTTCAGCTTCTTGGGCCTTCACTCAAAATAGTGTTCGATCATAAATATTCCTCCGGATTTTGTACTTCACCCTTTGTCTGATTTCGTGCAAATGATACGCGACATGTATTCTGTTTATTTTATTAGCTCTACTTCGTACTCATCGCAAAACGTTACGATCTCAAGTGTACTTAGGTGGGTTCCTTTAGTTTACATGCTGCTAAGTCCTACTAAGTCCCATGCGATCTTTCTTGATGATTGTACTTTTCTTTTTTTTACATCATGCATTTTCCCATGCAAGACCATCCGGTCAGTTCGTAATCTTTCCCTATCAGCATTTGATTTAAGTCTTTGTCTTATTTTTTACTAACTTACACGTTTGACTTGCATTTTCAAACGTAAGTTACTTAACTCTCGCAGCCTTACTGGATATGATCTTAAAACGTTTGTAGTTGATCGCGGAGGAGAAAGTGTCTTACCTTGCATCCTTCCTTCGAAGACCTCATTTTCAGATTCAGGTATATAGAATTTTATTTATTGTCTGACGGTGTGTTTTGATTGTATTAAGTCACTACTTAATTAATTTATATTAACCTTAAATATTTAAATATTTTTTCACCTTGGCAAGGTAAATAAATTCCATACAAATGCCTTTAATGGGTGTTAATGTTCGTTACACATTGTCCCGGGCATGCTTACATTTATATGTAAATATATACATTATACCTATAAATAGACATTGGTGTGATTAGTAGGCAATACTCGCTGAAGCAATGAAATTTTGCCAGCTTGTTAATTTATAGATAAACATAAATTTCAATAATGTCGGCAGCAGTATGAAATACGAACAATAACAACAACGGCAACAACAGCAACAACAGCAACAACAACGACGATTGCTATATTACAACATTATTGAAAGTTTAAATTGTGTCCTGCTTTCTCTAATCATTTGATAGAATTATTTGTCAGCATAAGTATGAGGAACGTATTGAATAATACTATAATTATTTGTTTATATAGTAATGCACATGGTTATATACGTGTATACGTGCGTGCGTGAATGAAAATGCGTTCGTATTGGCAATTGCAAGCACGCATAAGTAAAGAGATTTTGTGATGAAAGTTTATTGACTATCGTCTATATAAGCAATTAGCGTGTATATATATATGGGTATATATATATATAAAATCAGCTCATTTATCACATTAACACGTGCATTTTGCAAATACTCGCCTTAACTTTCTGTTCTGTTCTGTTCTGTTCTGTTCTGTTCTGTGCTATGTATATTTGCCTATACATACCTTCATGTCTTTTTAATCAGGATGTAATGTAAGTAAATCTAAAACCTCAACAATCAATTGTTAATTGAAATTGTTTGAATACAGAAAACCGCAATAATTCAATAGCTTTTGTGTTGTCAGTCAATGCAAATAAATTTTTGCTGATTTCGAAATTCATCTCATCATTCATTTATACACCATATGTATGCCATAGGGCAGTTATGTGTACAGTGTGTGTGTCTTAATTACAAAATTCATATTGAAGAAACTAAGCATTACTTATTAAAAAATAAAAGTTTGCTTAATATTTTAACAATAATATTTATTCAGTGAGAGCATTTAAATTAAAATAAA